TTATGTAAATGTGGCTGCACTCCAAAAAGTATTTGAAATGTGTACTAAAAGTGTATACTTTTCTGTGTGTAATACCTCAGTAAAGTTCATTTTTAAACTTCAATAGGTTCCTTTAAATGATAATTTTTTAAAAAAGATTTATTCAAGAGGAAGATACACAGAGATCTTCCATTAGCTGGTTCACTCCCCACATGGCTGCAATGGCCAGGGCTGGGCCAGGCTGAAGCCAGGAGCCAGGAGTTTCATCTGAGTCTCCCACATGAATGCAGGGGCCCAAATACTTGAGCCATCATCCTCTGCCACATTAGCACATTAGCAGGGAGCAGGATTGGACGTGGAACAGCTGGGACATGAACCAGTCCCAAATGGGATGCTGATGTTGCAGGAGGCAGCTTAACAACACTGGCCTCAAATGGTAACATTTTAAAGTATGTTAACACAGTTACCTTTATTGTGAAAAGGTGAATTTTTACAACCTTTACAGAAGCTACTTTGAAGCATCTATTAAGACAGAAGTTATAGCTTTCACCCCAGTGGGCTGAACAGAGTTGGACTCTGTTCCATACCCCAGTGTAGGTATGGCCATTTGGACTAGCAGTTGAGCTGCTGGTTGGAACACCCACATCCCATAATGGAATGCCTGGGTTCAAATCCTGTCTCCATCTCAGCATTCCACTTTCTGCTAGTGTGTACCCTGGGAGGCAGAGGGTGATGGCTCAAGTGGTTGGGCCTCTGCCACTCATGTGGGAGATTGGGATTGACCAGTTCCTGTCTTCAGTTGGTTGTGGATCTTTGGGAAGTGAATCAGCAAATAGGAGCTCACCCTGGCTGTCTGTCTCAGTACTTATTAAGTAAAATAAATAGACACATACATACATATATACATATATACCCCTAGTACATGAAAACATGTCTGCATATATGTTTAATGAATCATTTCTCTTAGTGGCCAAAACCTGGGTACCAAATGAATGCCAATTGTTAGGGGAATGGCCTATTAAATTGCAGAATATATTTATCATAGAGCAGAAGATAACCATGTGAAAGGATGATCAGAACTTTATCAAATGGAAGGATTTCCATGATGTATTTTTTTAAAAAAATAACTATGAAGCACATCAAAAAGCAAATAAGTTTTGAAAACCTAATAAAGAGCTCTAGAATGTATCCTGTAAGACAAATATCATGTGTTTTCCTGATTTGTGGTAGCTAACAGAGTACAAAAAATGTAATTCTTTTAAATGATAGGAGCAAAATTGACAGTTTGAGAATTGATTATTGTTTACAGCTCTTGTCTCTACTTTTGAAGAACAATGTATTTTCTTTATTACTATTTGTTGAATTCTTCACTTAGTAGAGGGTTAAGCTTATGATTAAAAATAAACTGAAAGTATATCATTATAAAAATTAAAAGAAAAAATAAGAAAGGAAGGTAGGAGTGTGAGAGTGTGAATTCATGGTAGGGTAGAAGGCATCACTATGGTTATAAATCTATATATATGAAATACATGATATATGTTCACTTTATATAAATATTTTTTTTAAATTGAAGGCTATATTTCTACATCATTGACCAGGCACTTAGTGTGAAGGACAGATGTGTGGGAAAGAGGAATGGAGAGATAAGCAAAAAATAAGATTTATATGGATAACATTAAAACCATATATATAGGGGTTGGCACTGTGGCAATAGCCGGAAAAGCCATCGTCTGCAGTGATGGCATCCCGTATGGGTGCTGGTTTGAGACCCAGCTGCTTCACTTCCTATCCAGCTCTCTGCTATGGCCTGGGAAAGCAGTACAAGATGGCCCAAGTCCTTGGGCCCCTGCACCCACGTGGGAGACCTGGAAGAAGCTCCTGGCTTTAGGCCAGCCATTGTGGCCATTTGGGGAGTAAACCAGTGGATGGAAGATCTCTCTGCCTCTGCCTCTGCCTCTCTGTAACTCTGCCTTTCAAATAAATAAATGTTAAAAAAAACTGCATATATATATATATATATATATATAATATGTGTATTATATATAATAGACAGACAGACAGATAGGGCATAGCAGGTTAGAGTGCTTTGGATTGCATACTTACTTCACTTCTGATTGAACTTCTTACTAATGTACCTGGGAGGCAGCAGATGATTGCTGAAATACTTGGGTTCCTGCCAGCCATGTAAGAAACCTAGAGTTCCTGGTTCCTGGCTTCAGCTTGGCCCAGTCCAGCCTCAAGTACTGTGGGCATTTAGGGAGTAAACTGTTGGATACAAGATTGATGTCTGGGCCGGCGACGAGGCTCACTAGGCTAATCCTCCACCTGTGGTGCCGGCACCCTGGGTTCTAGTATCGGCTGGGGCGCCGGATTCTGTCCCGGTTGCCCCTCTTCCAGTTCAGCTCTCTGCTGTGGCCGGGGAAGGCAGTGGAGGATGGCCGAAGTGCTTGGGCCTAGCACAGGCGTGGAGACCAGGAGGAAGCACCTGGCTCCTGGCTTCGGATCGGCACAGTGTGCCGGCCGTAGCTGCCATCGGGGGGGGGGGGGGGAACCAACGGAAGGAAGACCTTTCTCTCTGTCTCTCTCTCACTGTCTAACTCTTGCCTGTTCAAAAAAAAAAAAAAAAAAAGAAAGAAAAAAGATTGATGTCTGTCTGTCTGTCTCTCTGTCCACCTCTTTGTATCTCTAATAAGACATTATGTATGACTCTATATATATAGACACTCCATATTTGTAAAAATTATTTGTATCTTCATGAATTGTGGAAAGTGTTACAATTTTGGGGGTAGGCCCCGTGGTGCAGTAGGTTAATCCTCCACCTATGGGGCCGGCATCCCATATGGGTGCCAGTTCTAGTCCCTGCTGCTCTTCTTCCAATCCAGCTCTCTGCTGTGGTCCCAGGAAAGCAGTGGAGGATGGCCCAAGTGCTTGAGCCCTGCACCCACATGGGACAGCAGGAGGAAGCACCTGGCTCCTGGCTCCTGGCTTTGGATCGGCACAGCTCTAGATGTTGCGGCCATTTGGGGAATGAGCCAATGGAGGGAAGACCTTTCTCTCTGTCTCTTCCTCTCACTGTCTATAACTCTACCTCTCAAATAAATAAATAAAATCTTTTAACAAATTTTAAAAAAGAAATTGTTACATTTTTTATATAGCGTCTCTGGGATTTTCATCATGTACATCCAAATTTTAGAAATGGTGTTGCAAAGTAATGTTTAGCTCATGATTCTATTTGAGTAAATAAACAGAAGATCCTCTGTATATGAATTTTTCTTCAGTTTGAGTCATAGTACCTTTCTTGCTTCCAAGTTTCTTTCAGCTTCACTGAGAAACTTTCCAGAAATAATCCTCATGACTCGCAGGCTCCTAATGTTGGTGTCCATTTGTTTTGGAGCGGCATGATCAATACAGAATGGAAGGAGGAAGAAGGGTTGGAGTATGGGCAGGAGGGAGGGTAGGGTGGGAAGTATCACTGTGTTCCTGAGTCTGTATGTATGGAAATACATGAAACTTAGAAAAATAAAATTTTTTAAAAAGCAAAAAAGAAAAAATTCTCCTGTAGTTCTGTTCTTTTCAACACCATCTATTGGTCCTAAAGATTACATGCTTCCCCGGGGCAGAGAGAATAGAATATTGCTACCTCCTAGCATTTGCTAAAGTTCCAGAGAAGGTACAAGAAAACAGTCATATCTCAACAGCCTTTTAGCCTTCTAGTTTTTGTCCAATCTAGCTGTACATTTTATACTTTTTCTTGACTGAGTTTGGAGAGTGACACCTACAATAGCATCTGAGATGGCAAAATACTAGAGGTACTGGTGAAGGGAGAATCCTGCACCTGTAGTCATCAAAAGGAAAAGTTAATTACTTGTCAGTGGTTTAGATTGCTTCCAAATAATAGTGGCTGTGTTTTCTAAGGCACTCTTGCACATAACTTTTGCAGCATTCTGTGAGGAGAAAACAGGGATTGCCATGTGATAAGCTGTATCTTTTGTCAAACTTTCTTTTCCCTTATCTATGGAAAACTGTTGTTTTTATTTATCTAATATGAGGGGACTTCAGAAACCTTGTGGAAAACACAATTAAATGATAAGTTTACTTTTGTGCAAAAATTTTGCAATCCATGGATTGGTTTTTCACAATACACATTTTACAAGAACTTACAATTTTTATAAATTTTTAGTTTTGTTTATTTATTTTCATTTCATGTGAAAGAGAGCAAGAGAGAGAGACACACACAAGAGATTGTCATCCACTGGTTCACTCCCCAAATGCCAGCAGCGGTGGCTGGGCCAGGCTGAAGCCAGGATCCAGGAGCTCAGCCAGTTCTCCCAAATGGGTAGCAGTCATCTGCTGCTCCCAGGCATGTGAGTAGGAAGCTGGATCAGAAGTGTAACTGAGACTCCATCCCAGGCATTCTACCAGATCTGTGGGCCATATAAGGCCTACAAAAATAATTTTATCTGGCACCGCCAAGTCAACCCCAGGTGGAACTTAAAATCTAGTAGATCTATTGCAGCCTAATTTTTGAGTTGATAATTTTGTATGGCCTGTGAATGATGTTACAACTATCCAAATGGCTCTTGTTAGAAGAAAAGGTTCCCTACCCCTGTTAGGGGATGCAAGCATCCCAAGTGGTGGCTGTAACCCCTTGTGCCACATGCCCACCCCATATCCTCCATGAACTTCCTAAAGACCCCTAAAATGCATTGATTTGTGTTTGTGTGTATAAAACAGAGCATTCCAGAGTATGACTGTATAATAAATGGGTTAGGATAACAGTGGCACTCTATCTCACTTCTTAAAAGATAGAGTTTATATATATAAAGATGTTAAACTAGCTTTAGTAAACATGAATTGAGTCAGTGTAAGTATAAGAAAGTTAACACAGTATGCTTGGGAGTCTGTTTAATATGAATTATTTATAAAACTTGGAAAAATTAAAATCATTCTTTCAAAACATTAATCTTTTATAGATTTTAAACTCATCATCTTTTTCTTTCCTGTGTTTTGGTTTCAAACAGGCCATATACTCCTTTGAATGGAAGCATCTCTAATGTATGGTTTGACAGATTTAAAATATCTAATGACTGCCCAGAACACATAGAATCAATTGATATAATGTGTAAAGTGCTGTCTGGTTTGATTGATGAGGAAGTAAAGAGTGGCATCAAAAAAAACAGGATATTAATAGGTAAGACCTAAATTGGTGTTTTTTTTCACTTTTGTCTAATTCTATAGGAGACATTATTAAAAGCATTTGTATGTCATTCAACACATTCATAGTTTTATATGTAAATGTTAATGTATTTTGGATTTCAAAGATATTAGAATAATGTCTTATACAACTATAATTGATTTTGAGTAACAATATTGTGAAAACTTCATGGCAGTTAAATTTTTCTTTGCAGTTTAATTTTAATTGATATTATACCTTTTAGCTTGTTAAACATTGTTTTTTAATTATCTTAACTCTTAGAAGTTTTTTTTTAAGTTTTTTTTGAGGAAAGGTCTTTTTTTAATTTTTATTTTTGACAAGCAGAGTTAGACAGTGAGAGAGAGAGAGACAGAGAGAAAGGTCTTCCTTCTGTTGGTTCGCCAATCTGGTGCCCCAACCGGGACTAGAACCCAGGGTGCTGACGCTGCAGGTGGAGGATTAGCCAAGTGAGCCATGGTGCCAGCCAACTCTTAGAGAGTTTAAAATACTATTGCCATGATTCAAATAGAGTAAGTGCACAGTCAAAATATGCTGAACAATTCATGAAAATTAAACTTGTTAGTTAATATTACAAAATTAAGATATTTATGTATTTTTGTTAAATGTGTCTTTAGCCTTGTTCCCAAAGGAGTATACCATAGCTTTATATAAGCTCTATTTTCTACTTAATAGCCTTTTCTTTTTCTGTGCTCACTAAATACATAACCTAACAAATCCTTTGTCTCTAATGTATACAAAACTGATTTAAGGTGTATAGAGTGTGAGTGCTGTAGAACGTACTTTGGTGAAACAGTTTTCTTTTGAAATATTACTATTTAATTTATAATGAGTTACATTTGTTGACAGAATTGTAAAGCAAGCATTTACATCACGTTCTAAATTATTTTAAAATATATGTTAAAATTCTCTATAGAAAGTATTTGTATGAATCAGTAAACTTCCTTTGTGTTTACTGGAGTGCTGGATTCTGTCCATTAATTTATGAGAGACAACATGATCTATTGGGTATTCATTCTATACTGCATTGGGTTCACTTTCCACTTCTGTTATTTAAAAATAGTGTGACCTCCTGTCCAGCAATAAAACTTCCGGGGGCCTTAGTATCCTCATCTATGTGCCACTCTGTATTTCTTTCTGTGTCTAGCTTGAGAAAGAATATAGGGAAAAGATGCCCAACTCAGTCTTTGGCACTATGAAACAGAGATAGAATTCAAAATATGTGAATAAATCAGAGAATTCATCATTTATTCTTTAGCAAATAATGTTTAAATCCTCACTGTTTGTCAGAAGTATTTGAGATCCCCAAAGGGATACACAGATAAATAAAACCGGATTCGTCTTCAAATTTCCTATGACCTAGAATGGCCCAAGAGGTTGAAGTAAAAATAATAACTGTAATCCAACCAGCTGTGATGGATCCCCTGACATTTGGACTAATAGCTCTTCCAAGGAAATTGTTGCTTTTATTTGTTTTTATTTCCCAGGAGCCATTGCAATGCCTGGCACAGAGCATATGCCCAGGAAATCCACAATTAATGTTATGATTTGATCAATAAATCTGTTAATTGTATATTAAATATATGACATCTGTTCCCTTTATATAAATGAAAAAATTCATATAAGTAAAAAAGCAGTAGGTCAGCTAGGAAATGGCCGGTTTTAGACTTCTGTCATCAGCACTGCACCATGCTCTTCAGTCTCTCAGTCTGGTTCTCAGGGTCAACCAGGTGCTGTCCAGTCAGATACCCAACTAGGGTCCACACAGAGGAAAACAAAGAGCAGCACTCTTCCTGCTTCTATTTATCATTCATGGCGTTCCCTATACCTCGATTTCTGTAGTGCAATAGTTTAAATGATTGTAATGTGTACATTTCAAATGTCACCACCATTCATCTGTGAAACTCTTCTCCATTAGTCCCAAATGCATATGACCTATTCTTCTGAATTCACTTGGTTCTTTGTTATTTAAGTCACTAAATTTATTGATCATATTCCTCCTCCTCCCTTTGCTAATTTTCTTTAAATTTTTTTTTAAATTTTTTATATATTTTTCTTTAAATTTTTTTCTTTAAATTTCTTTAAATTTTTCCAATGACATCCTTTCAATTTACTTTATAATCACAAGCTTAATCTTCCACTAAATAAAGAATTCAACAAGTAGTAAATAGAAAGACCGCTGTTCCTGTATATAGAAAAGGGCTATAAATAATAATCAGATTTCAAGGTGTCGATTTAATTAGTACACACTACATACCTAATCTCTAAGGTGGGAATATTAACACAGTCCTTTCCTGGGAGATGGTGCTTGTAAACAATATGATGTATTCTAGACACTCAATGAATATTTTCTTCAGCCCTCCTATTCTTAGTTCTGTGGGCATAACTTACCTCTCTTGAGTAGCTTATGGATTTTCCCCTCTCTAGAACTTAGATGAATATTCAAATAGATTTTTAATTGGTTTTTTGACTTTCCTCCTTTTTTACATTTAATTATTTGACTTATCTGGAATTTTAATTTCTATCACATTTTAACTTATTAAGATTAAAGTGCCATTAACTACATTTTAATGCAGGGATTCAATGGGAAATCAAAGAAAAAATACATTTGAGATTCAAACAATTTTTATTAAACACATATACTCACTCAAACACATGTATTCAGAGCCCAGAGTTAGGAGAAAGATTATGTTATTCAAAAATTAATTATATGGGCTGGTATTTTGGCATTTGGTAAAGCTGCCATCTGCAACGCAGACATCCCATAAGGGCACAGGTTTGTGTTCTGGCTGCTCCACTTCCAATATAGTTCTCTGCTAATGGCCGGAGAAAGGCAATGGAAAATGGCCCAAGTGTTTGGGCCCTTGCCACCCAGTTGGGTAGACCTAGATGAAGTCCCTGGTTCCTGGATAGGACCTGGCCAAGAGTTGGCCATTATGACCATCTGGGGAGTAAACCAGCAGCTAAAAGATCTCTCTCTCTCTCTCTCTCTCTCTCTCCCTCCCTCCCTCTCCCTCTCCCTCTTTTTCTTTCTCTCTCTCTCTCTGTGTCTCCCTCTCTCTCTGTAACTATGACTTTCAAAATAAAAATCTTTAAAAAATTAATTATGATTGGAAAAATAGCAATGTAAGATTAGAAAAGTACAATTTTAATAGATGCAAAAGTGTTATCCTTATACATTTTATTTCCTACATGGTCATATTTCTGATTTGATAACAAATGGTATGTACTAATACAACCCTGTCTCAGAGTATAATCGCAACCTGTATAATTTTATAAGCAAAACTGCCATCTATATTTGATGTAAATGGGAGACCACTCTACAATTTTAGTTAGTGATATTTTCTTAAATTGACTCAGTTTTAGAAACAATTCTTTCAATAATATATGATCTTCTACTTTTTCTAAATAGTTGGTCCAGCTTGGGTTGGTTGAAAATGACACTTCTCATCCTAAATTTTATCTCCAAATTGTTAATACAAATTTTAAATGCTAGAGTACTAAAAGCCTCTCTTTTCCATAGAGATAGATATTGAATTCAAACGTTTGAATGCAATGCACATGTTTTTGTAGAAGATGTGTAAAAGACACAGTGTAGTCCATGAAAGGAGAAAATCTAGGAGTTAGTTCTACTCTGTAAAACAGGTGTTCTCCACCCGTCTTAAAGAATGAGTGAGACTTTCGCAGCACATAGAGCAATGTATTTGTGAAAGAAAGTAAGGGACACGTTAGACTCTCTCTGGAGATAGCTGACTATTCATCCAACTCCAGCATCAGTGGATTATACACCGAGTGAGTGGTGTGATCGAATATGCATTTTAGAAACATTATGCTGTCCACACTATGGAGTTCTGACTAGGGAGTCTGAATGAAGGTCAGGAAAACAGCAAGAAGGTGAATGAAATGGCATGAAGAAATACTGAACTGGCACAATTTAAAGGTTTTTAGAACAAAGGGATGGTAGATAATACTTAAGAAATTTACAGTTGACTATGGGGATTGGCTATAAAACAAAGTGGTTTTTTTTTTTTTTTTCAATTTATTTCTTTCCAAGGTAGAACAATAAAGAGTTGGGGGAGAGAGAGAGAAAAACAGAGAGGGATCATTCATCTGCTGGCTTACTCTCCAAATGGCCCCAACAGCCAGAGCTGGGCCAGGCCAAAGCCGGGAGATCTCCCAAATGAAGAGCAGAGACCAAGTACTTGGGCCATTGTTGTGCTGCCTACCCAGACAATCAGCAGGGAGCTAGATCAGAAGCGTAGTAGTGGGGGACTCAAACCAGTACTCTGATAACGGGACACTGACATTGCAAGTGGCAGCTTAACCTGCTTTGCCACAATGCTGGCCCCAATTTTTTGTTTTCTTTCTTTCTTTCTTTCTTTCTTTCTTTCTTTCTTTCTTTCTTTCTTTCTTTCTTTCTTTTTTTTTTTTTTTTTTTTGGATAAGATTAATTTTATTTTATTTGAAAGGCAGAGAGAAAGGGAGAGACAGAGAGAGCGGGAGAGAGAGAGAGAATCTTCTATCCACTGGTTCACTTCATAAATGGCCAGAATGGCTTTGGCTGGGCCAAGCTGAAGCCAGGAGCCGGAAGCTTCTTCTGAGTCTCCCATGCAGGTGGCAGGAGCTAAGCACTTAGGCAGTCCTCCTCTGCTTTCCCAGACACACTAGCAAGGAGCAGGATGGGAAGTGGAGAAGCTGGGACTTGAATCGGTGCCCATAATAGAGGATGCTGGCACCACAGGCAGTGACTTTACTGGCTACGCCATAGTTTTCTAAGTTGCCTGCAGTGGACATTTATTACCTTCTTAATAGAAATTAATAAATTCTTGTAAAGATGAGAAGAACTGGCTGAAGATTCACTATCTACCCCCAGATCTATTATATAGAAAATGTTCAAGGAAAGGATGTTCCTTGGAGGCATTTATGTATCCTCATTATTTACATTAAGAATTGAAGAAAAGAATTATTTTTGTTCATTTATATGTTATGTGACTATAGAAGTTATGATAAAATGTAGGGGAGACACAGGCAGTAAAATGGATTAGTAAATTAATTTTTGAAATAATCAGTGAAGTGCTAGAATTCAAATCCTGTAAGTGTTTAAAGCATTAATAATATTAGGTTATCCTGTCTTCTAATGAGTCTGTTAACAGATTTGAAAGTGTCCTGTGTGCAGAATACAAGCATATTTCATAATCAGTCCATTTTCCCTCTATAAGTCCGTCTTAAACTTTCCATTTCCTCCTAGTGTGTTTTTGTATAATGTGAGAAGTCAAAATGGAGAAATTTATATCATTTTCCCTTGTGTACTGTTGTGCTCAGAAAGTATATATGGTAATAATAATCTTAAATTAGTTAACATTTATATTATACTTGGCAGTTTTTAACTTGCTGTTAAATATTATAGTGTTTTGTATTTAGGTAGCATAAGTTATAAAGTTGTTTTCATATACAGCTCTCTTAAAATTTGCAATAGGCTAAATAGAATTTCATTATTCTCATTTCAGATATAAAAAAATAAATTCAAAGAGATTACTGGCCTCTGTAGAGTTGGGACTAGAACCCAGGTCCCTTGACTTAGGCCAAGAACTTTATGCTATGATCAGATTCCTTTCTTTGGCCACTAGGTGGTGATAATTTGTTGTTAAGAGAAAATATTAATATAATTTAGGTTTAACTTTAATTTAAGATATATAGAGATTAACAGATGACAAACAGATGACCAAAATTTTGATAACAGGCATATTATCAGAATTTTGAAGCATGGAGAAGCGAATGTTTCTGGAACTACACTTGAATAATTTACATGGATGATCTAAGTACCCTATCTTAAAGTATCTGCTTAAGGGAATTGTGGTCTATTAATAAGATTAAATAGTCTGTAACCTTCAAATACTATTTATATACAAATAAAACTTTCTCAGTTTGTGTTCTATTAAAAAATAACTATGTAGTTTTATAATTTCAAATCTAGTATATGAATCAAAAAGCAAGATATACATGTACATTGAGACTGATTTTTAAAATAACTTTTAGAAGAACATACCAAAATTTTGTGTGGTTTATAAGATTTCAGATGACTCATTTTCTTTTGTATTTGTATCTATATTATAGAAGCACTTTACAGAGTATGTGTATGTTACTTTATTGATTTTAGAGTAAGATATAAAATACAAATAAAATTAAAGGATAATTGGAGGGGCTGGCGCCATGGCTCACTTGGTTAATCCTCCGCCTGCAGCACCAGCATCCCATATGGGTGCCGGTTCTACCCCCGGTTGCTTCTCTTCCAGTCCAGCTCTCTGCTGTGGCCCAGGAGGGCAGTGGAGGATGGCCCAAGTGCTTGGGCCCCTGCACCCACATGGGAGACCAGGAAGAAGCACCTGGCTCCTGGCTTTGGATCGGCCATTTGGGGAGTGAACCAATGGAAGAAAGACCTTTCTCTCTGTCTCTCTCTCACTGTCTATAATTCTACCTGTCAAATAAAAAAAAAAAAAAAAAGGATAATTGGAATGTTCATGGTAAACCTAACACCACAGTTTCCACAGTTGCCTTCCCCTGAACGTATGTGTTATTCTTATGCCCATCTGGGAACTGAAATTTGAGAATGACTCGGTTCTACTTTCTTTGAACATATATATATTTTTTTAATTAAACAACTCATGGTTTTTTCAACAACAGTTATCTTGGCTTTAAAAGGATTGACACTATTGTTCTAAAAGTTTTCCATAGAGAAAAATACTTTATCCTACAAATTTTGTTTGAGAGGAAATATATAAATAAATACGATAGAGATGGATAACTTGTGCATTCCCAGATCTTTAAGGTTTTTATTGCACTTAAGTCTAAAGAACAAATACAATATTATATAAATCAAATGGAAGAATTTTTATAGTTTTATTTATATTTTATAGCCTTATTTAGTTGATAGCAAACATTGTTTTTTATCTTAGGTTTTTGTTTTTGTATAGAATATCTTAATTTTTCCAGTATAGTTTTTATATAGATTGTTTCAGTTTTATTTTATATAAAGAGTTCATAAAGCCAGGTTTATTGTTTTTTAACATGTTTTATTTAGCTTGTTAATCTTAAATATATGTTGAAACGTTAACTCTTGACATTTTAAATACTTAGCTAGCAACTATAAATATCCATTATAACCATTACCTACAATGAATTTACTATTTGCTATTTACCTCTGAACAGTGTTTTTTTTATATTAGATTTTAGACTCTTCGATGGAAAATTGAATTCAAATGACTAGTTCTTTGTGTTAAATTTTCTTCCATTAAGAAAAAATATACAGAGTCCCTTTTCACAGTAGTATCCTATGCTCAAGGTTATTGTATTGTCAAAGAGGACCTGTGAGAAACTGCAGGTTACCTCATGAGATTATTAATGCATAAAGGACTTAGATTAAATCTTAAAATAATAAGGTTTCAGTAACTACATTTTTCTTCATTGTAACTTACAAGAATGGAGAATGAAATGTCTGCAAGATGCATTTACTCATGTGCATAATGACATTTCATGGGTGAGTAAATGCTTTTCTGTTTCTTTCTTTCTTTCTTTTTTTTTTTTTTTTTTAAGCTAGGCTGGTCCCATTAAGGTGCCTTGAAGCCACATAAAGTAGAGTGGCTTTATGTGTTCCCAGTCAATAAATGTAAAGTGTGAGGGTAATTACTGTATAAAATTTTCTTGATAGGTGTGCTTTAAAAATTTTTAAGTAAGCTTTTGCTTGCTTATCTACCTTATTTATATTTTATCTTTTTTATTCATCCTTTAAGATATGATTTCTAAACATTTGATGAAACAAACATATTGAGTTGACACTATGTGCCAGGCAGTGTACTCATTGCCAGGCAATGAGCGTGTAAATGTGGAGCCATTTCCATCAGATGCCTGCACCAAGAGGGCAGAGACACTGTTCAGCGGTCATAAGCACGCAATCCAAATTTGACGATTGAAGAGAGAACCATTTCGTAACCATTAAGGATTTCAAAATCTGGAGAATTAATTAAATGCAATAAATTAAACTCAATAAAAAGTTTTTTTTTTCAAAATGTGTTTTCTTTAAAACCCCCACAATATTTATATAGACAAACTTTAGAAGCAAAAAGAAGTTTATAACTAGATTTGTGGCAAAAAAAAATAATAAAGCTTAGAATTCTTTCTGAATACTTAGGATAAGTGTTTACTACCAGAATTACTAATCTTGGCTATGGCAAGCACTTCATACACAAAGGCGACATGCCAAAGATTTATCAATGCACAAACTTAGGGATAATGTAGCCCAGGGGCTGCTAGCTTTGGAGGAATCTGATAAGCATCCATAAATTTTGCATGCAGATTTAAGATTTTTATGCCCCTTCTGCCCACACCAAGCTCATTCATGAACCTCTAATTAGGTGCGTCTGCATCTAGATGTACTGAGGGTTATTTTGAAAGAATCTTTCAGGTGTTTCTCATTCACGGTGAGCCACTTTTACTCATAAGACCTTCCTCTTAAGACCCTCCTAGTTCTGGTATGTTGAAATCCAGATACTGGTATAATATTTACCATGCATTGTTACTATTTTTTGTATTACCCCGTCACTAAAAATCTAAACTTTGTAAGGTTGCTTATCCTTTTTGAAGAATTTGTATCCGAAGTCCAACATACTTATATGTGTGCCTGGCCCAGATAAGGTAGTCACATTTTAATAAACATCAGAGGATGATAGAAAGTACCTTAAACTCTTTTTTGCAAGCAATCTAGATTCCTAAAGTTCTGCTTTACACTTAAAGTTAGGGGTGCAACCTTGAGCAGGTCACCTGATCTCCTTGGGCCTCAGTTCTTCCCATGTATAAAAGAAAGGTATCGTATAAATACAAATTTATACTCCCTAAAGGCTCCGCTTTACACGAAGTAAAATAAAGCAGTAGGCTGGAAATTAAGAGATCTAAATTCCACACCAAAGTATTTCTTTGTATTTCTACAAGTGTGTGGCTACATGATTTATTTTCTGTGTTTATATCCTCTTGAAACTAAATGAGATATCTTTTAACTCTCAGTCAAGATTAGGATTATCATGCCGAGTCTCTGACTTCTAGGCAGCCTAGGAACCGCATCCTGTTTGCTGTTGCCAGGGCACACACCCATCTCTGCATTCTGTGATGAAAGTCTTTTCTTATCAAAGTCCACCTGAACAGGAGGGCCCATGTATTTTTATGTGCATAAATCTCCAGTGATTAGCAGTGCTTGCCATATAAAAAAATTATAAAGATGTGTCAGCTAAATGCAAGGCTTTTTTCAAGGTCTGTTGTAAAAAAGAACATAGAGTTATATATGTTATTTTTTATTATACCATTATAAGTCAGTTTCCAAAATACTACCAAGTCCAAAAATGTTGTAACTAGCTCACCTTAATTTTGATCATCCTTCCTAATCCAAAGATCATTAAGCATGGAACACTTGGCAGACACCGTGGTCAACTCTTCATGGAGCTCACAGCTTGGCAAGCAGGAGCCCTTTAAGTGTAAATGAAATATCAGTAGACCTTAGAAGCTTAAATAAATAATTCTTACACTAAGACTCATGATTTGAATTATGATAAATATGTCTACTTGGTAAGGATGAGTTCTTTGTTAAATCCTAGCACCTTTCATAATATAGTACCAGAGATGACAGATGCAGTAGTGTTATTTACACGTAGCGGGTTGTCTCCTGTGAGAACTGAAGTAGATGAGTTTTTGTTTTAGTGCTGTATCTCTTTAAAGGTCTCCAATTATTTAAAATATAATTATGAAAGGATGACATAGATATCTTTTATCTTAAATAATAATTTAATATCTAAATTAGTATTACAAATATTCTGCTTTTTCTAATAGGTATATTTCTGCTTATTTTAGGAGGATTTTCCATGGGCGGGTGCATGGCGATGCATTTAGCATATAGAAATCACCAAGATGTGGCAGGAGTATTTGCTCTTTCTAGTTTTCTGAATAAAGGATCTGCTGTTTATGAGGTAAGTTCCAGATTAGAAAATAAAACAAAACTGAAAAAACTGAAGCAAATCTCAAAATTAAAATGAAATTGGTAATAAGAAGTAAAAATTGATTTGCAATTTTTGCACAATTGATGTAACTGACCATTCCTGGGACTTAACTGCCAAACAACTCATATTCATTCATTCTATCTGAGATCATTATTGCTCAGAGAAGGTCCTGTACAAAGAATATTGCAAAGCAAAATGTCAGAGTAAAAAAATAAAAAAATACATGTATGTAAGTGGTATATATTTACCTTTGTACATATTAAATATATAGATAATTATAGCCAGATTTGGTTAGTATGTCATGAACATAATCAAAACAAAAACTGTATTAGGTACCTGATACTTACTTTGCAGCAACATTCTAATTCATAGATTTGATATAAATTTATAGTATTGCAACTTCATTAGAAGTAGAAATAATAATACAAATGTATAAATTAAAACCACAATGAAATTTTTGCTTTGATTATACTTTAGTTCTGAGCTTTTCCTGCCTTCTACTCTATGTGAAGAGGTCTTTCTTTGCAAGTCACTTAGTTTCTTCAGGAAATGCTTTAAGACAGACCTTTATATTATACGTACGGGTCACATACAACCACAGCTGAAGTGGTGCCGGCAACCAGTTAAAACTCAGGCTCAGCCCACCAAAATGTACATCAACAGGGCCACCTCTGCCTCCTTTTCCCCTGTAGTATTGAAGCTTTGGTAAAAATGGCATTTTTCTGCTCTTATTTCTTGAATAATCTTTTTAAAGTTTAATTTTCATTAATTTCCATTTTCATGGTTTTTTTCTTCAGGCTCTTAAGAAAAGTCATGGTGTCCTTCCTGAATTATTTCAGTGTCATGGAACTGCAGACGAGTTAGTTCTTCATTCTTGGGGTGAAGAGACAAACTCACTGTTAAAATCTCTAGGTGTAAGCACAAGATTTCATAGTCTTCCAAATGTTTACCATGAGTTAAACAAAACCGAGTTAGAAAAACTAAAGTCATGGATTCTTACGAAACTGCCAGGAGAAATGGAAAGGCAAAATGAATGAATCAAGATCAGTTTCTTAGTGGATATGTCATGTCTTTGTAAAAAGTAGTTTTTATTGCCAATTATAATGATACAAGAAATAACTACTGGCTGGTTTATATATTATCACAATGGCTAGCACCATGGAGAGAAACATAATCTTACTAATAGGAAACATTAATTTAGACAATCATCTGTGCATTATTTTCAGATACATTTTTATAAGTATTTGGAGACCCTTTTAAGTATTTACTAATTCAACATTTTAAAATAGTATCAATAAGAGCAGGGGTAGGCATTTGGCACAACAGTTAAGATGCCCACATTCCATATCGGAATGCCTAGGTTTGAGTTCCAGCTTCACAACCAATTCTGGCATCCTGCTGATGCACACACTAAGGAGGTAGCTGATGATACAGCTCAAGTATTTGGGTCCCTGCCATCCATGTTTCAGACCTGGATTGAGTTCCAGGTTCTTGGCTTCAGCCTTGCCCACCTCCATCTGTTGCAAGCATTTCTGCTTGAACCAACAGATGGAAGACTTCTCTCTCTCTTTCTCTCTCTCTCTCTTTTCCTCTTCATGCCTTTAAAATAAGATGAAAACTAATTTATTTATTGCAATTTTTTTAAAAGAAAGGAGCTCAAAACCAGATTATCAAGGGCTGGGTAGTCTATAATGAGAACTTTAAAAATAAGTAAGGGCAATGAGAAAACATGAAAGAATTCAGCATGTTGTGTTGTTATCTTTCTTTCAATTATCATTCCAAAGATATTTGTGTTTATATAGTTTTATTAAAGTACTGTTGGGCACCAAAAAATATGTTGTGCCCAGATCGTTAGATCCCCGCAGAGACCCCCAGAGAGTCGATCACACTGAACTGCAAAAGCGAGGTTTATTTGGGAGTACAAGCCACGACAGGGACCCCATCCAGCCAGCCGGCACATCGGAGGAAGGAGTGAGGTCCTGGTCTTTGTTTGGGAGAGTTTTTAAAGGAAAAAAGAGCTACATCAGCAGGAAAAAAGAGTTACATACAGCATGGAAGCTTTGGGTACAGGGAGTTACAGCGGGGGCTTATAGCACGGAAGCTTTGGGCACAGGGAGTTACTTTGTTTAGCAATCTCTACTGTGCTGTCCTTGGTCTACCGAGCTAGCTGTCCCTGGTAAGCTTTGACATCTCTGGAATGCCTGAATGCCTGCTTTTACAAGGATCCGGGTCTGCTATGGGAAACAGAGCCTGCTTTTTTTTATTGTTTTAAAATGGAGTCACTTTGGTTCTTCAGTACCATTAATACTCCAGGTTTATAAAGTTTTACTTTATCTTACTTGATCATCACAAGAGCTTCATGAATAAGCTGGGTAATGATTAATGTTTGGTAGTACAGGTAGAGGTGCTAAAAAAAAAAAAAAAAAACCTCACAGTGTCAAGAGGCACGACTAGAATCCAGAGCTTCTCGTGCTCAAAGGACTCTCATTCTGTTAAACCAGCTAGCTGCTGTGCTCCAGGTCTCAATTTCATCTGTAAAGTGATAGTACCTACCTATCCCACCTATCCCATGGGGTTGTTGTTGAGGTTTAAATAAAATAAACAGCCAAACCAATACATAATGAGCACTCAAATATTAGCTGTAGGGTGGTCATGATCTATTTCTAGGAAGACTTTGCAGATAACGAATGAAAAATAAAATTATGTTTCTTAATTGCAAATGCTATTGATATTGATTGGTGATCTCTTATGCATACATAGTCTAATTTTGTCCTGTTTGATGCTCACATCAATTTTTTTAGGATTGGTAAAATATGTATCATTCCCATTTTACACAAATGCAATTGTGATATTTTCCTGCTTTCATTCAATAAAATTATTTCAATTCATATATATTGCATGTATAAATCATTCACTTATTTTATTGCTGAGTAATATTGTATTGTAAGGATGCAACACAATTTGTTTATCCATTCACTATTGGTAAATATTGATGGTGTTTCCAGTTTGGGGATATTATAGATAAAACTGCTAGGGATATTCACTAAAAAGTCTCTAGATGTACCTATGTTGTCATTTCCATACATAAGTAGGAATAAACTGGGTGGGTTATATTTGTAAGTATATGAATAACTCAAAAGGAAATTACACAAATGTTTTCCAAAGGAATCGTGCCATATTATATTCCAGCCAGCAGTGTGTGAGAGGGCAACTACTGCTGATTCTTGCCAACACTCAATGACTAGCTTTTCTTATATTTTACCTATTCTAGTAGGTGTATAGTAGTATTACATTGTGATTTAGCTACCATTTTCTTAATGATTGATTTTTTTTTTTTTTTTGACAGGCAGAGTGGACAGTGAGAGAGAGAGACAGAGAGAAAGGTCTTCCTTTTTCCGTTGGTTCACCCTCCAAGGCCGCCACGGCTGGCGCACTGCAGCCAGCGCACCGCGCTGATCCGAAGGCAGGAGCCAGGTGCTCCTCCTGGTCACCGATGGGGTGCAGGACCCAAGCACTTGGGCCATCCTCCACTGCACTCCCTGGCCACAGCAGAGAGCTGGCCTGGAAGAGGGGCAACCGGGACAGAATCCGGTGCCCCAACCGGGACTAGAACCTGGTGTGCTGGCGCCACTAGGCGGAGGATTAGCCTGTTGAGCTGCGGTGCAGGCCAGTGATTGATTTTTATTAGATTTTTTGCATACTTATCAATAGTGCTCCAGCACTATTTAGTAAAATTATATAGATCATATAGATATAGACATATAGATATAAATCCTTTTTCCATTGAATGATTTTTGCAATTGTGTCAGAAATCATTTGGCTCTTATATAGGTCTGTTTCTGAGTTCTCTCTTCTGTTCCAATGATCTGTGTGTTCATTCTCCAACCAACATATCCACTTAGTTGCTATAGTTATATAAACCTTGAAATCAGGTAGAGCGAATCCTCCCAACTTATTAATGTTTTCAAAATAATTTTAGCTATTTTTGTTTCTACCCTTTCCATATAAATTTTAGGACAAGCTTATCTGTAGCTACAGAAAAACAGTCTTGCTGGAATTTTGATAGAAATTGTGTTAAGTTTGTGTATCAGTTTGGGCAGAATTAACATCTTTGTTGAATCTTACAATTCAAAAATATGATATTACTCCACTAACTGAGTTCTTTGATTTCTTTAATTAAAATATGCTTTTTGTGTATTGGTCTGGATCTGTTGAGCTCATTTATTAATGCAAGGAATTTTTCTGTAGATTCCTTAGGATTTTCTATAAAGACTATCATCTGTAAATCAGAATAGATTTACTTCTTTTTTTCCAAATCTGAGCCTTTTCTTTTCTTTGCTTATTTCATTGGTTAAAACTTCTAGTACTATGGTGAATGAGAATAGCGAGAACAGGCATTCTTACCTTGTTCCAAGTCTTAAGGAAAAAGATTCTTTTCCTTTAAATATGATGTTAGCTGCAGTTTTTCTGTAGAGAATTTTTAGCAAGTCGATAAAATTCCTTTCTGTTCCTAATTTTCTGAGTTTTTATCATGAATTGTTGAATTTTGTTGCATGATTTTTCTATAACAATTGATACAGTCATGTGATTTCTTCCTGTTGCTGTTTAATTCAGCCCATCACCATGATAATCAGTTTTAGAATATTGAGCCAGCTTTGCATTCCCATAATACACTCCCTTGGTCATACTGTATAATTCGTTTTATGTATTGCTGAACTGTGTTCACTAACACTTTGATAAGGATGTTGTTTAACCGTATTCATGAAGGATATTGAACGTTTATTTTTATCTGCTTTTTATGCTGTCTTTATTTGGTTTTGATATCACAACATTGGCTTCATAAAATGAATGAGGTAGTATTTTCTCCCCTGAATAGGATTGATAGTAGCTTTTCTTTAACTCTTTGGGACAATTCTTCAGTGAAACTGTCTGGGCCTAGAGATTTCTGTATACTAGACTTTTTTATCTTCTGGTCTACTTTCAAGTGATATTGTGCCATTTCACAATTAGTGTAAGAACTTTCCATTTCCCCTTCCTGGGGAAAAACATTTTTTTGTACTTCAGATCTGTCATTGATGAATTTCAGCATTTGTCTGATAAAATCTATTCCGCATTTCTTTGGGGAAGATATTTCTACTAGCTAGAGAATTCCAGATTGATGCTTTTTTCATCTTCTTAAAGATTGTTATCTATTTATTATCATTTATTTGCAAAACAGAGTTACTTCTCAACTCCTAGGTTTAAGGTGGGTTTCTAATCCTTGCGTCATGGACTTGGAACTCTGTCCAGGTAGAAAGTTCGGCTGATCATAAAGCTCACCTTGTTTCTCATCTCTCAAGGACCACTGTCCTTCATTTTCTAATATTTAGTGCTTGAAAAATTGTTTATAGTATTTAGCCCTTTTTTCCCCCAACTCTGATGTGCAAGAACAGCTCTGTTACTACATCATAGTCTGGAAACTAAATTAGCTTTTAAAGAATTTTTAAAAATTTATGACATCTCTTATGTTTACTTTTATATTTACCTTCTCCAGTGCTCTTCACCCCAAAATATAGTGTCAGATTTCTGTATCATATGGCTTTCCTTCTGTCTGAAATACTTCAGCACTTACAATAGTGTGGGTCTGTTTCTGATACATTCTTTTAAGTCTACTGTACCTTCATTCTGAAAAGGTATTTGGAATTCTGTGTTTTGTTGTTGGTTTTCCCCTTCCTTTTAGTGCTTTAAATATCTTAATCCATTCACTTCTAGTTTCCAGTTTTCTAATGTCCTACTCTGCTTTTCCCAATTCTGGCAGCTTTTACAATTTTCTTTATCATTTGTGTTAAGCAATTTGATTATGACATGCCTTAGTATTGTTTTCCTCCACTTTGCTTGTGCTTAGAATTTCTTGAACCCATTTTTCTTGGATCTGTAAGTTTATAGTTGCATAAAATTTTGAGACATTTTGAGTGTTACATTTTCCAATATTTCTTTGCCTCTTCCCTTCCCCTTTTTGTGGGACTTCAGCTGTACTGAGACTTTAGTTTTCTCTTCGCTTACTTGTGCTTAGTTCTTTTTTCCCTTTTTTAAATTATTTTTTTAGTCTCATCTCATCTTGGATAGTTTCTATTATGTTGTTTAGTTTGGTTTGTCTTTTTTTCTGCAATGTTTAATTTGTCATTACTCCTAATTATTTTTCATTACTGTTCCTCTCTTTAGTTCCATGTTTCCATTTTGGTGCATTTTTGTATTTGACATGGTTAGTCTTTTTCGGCCTTCTTGAATATTTATAGTTATAATAGCAAATTTTTACTGTCCTTGTTTTCGGTGTCTGTAATCTTTGTTATTTTTAAATTTGAAACTATTGATTAATTTCTGTTCTAATTAAGGATAATATTTTCATGTGGCATGCCTAGAACCTTTAGATTAGTTTTCAGACATCGTGAATTCTGTCTCGTTAGGTGCTGGGTAATTTTACATTTCTTGTATGTTCATAACCAGTGTCATGGCATGCAGGATTCCGTTTAAGCTTCCTTGGATGCTGTCAGAGCAGTGTTTCCTCCAGGAATAATTTGGCTGCACAACTCAAGAAGTACATTTCTGAAGACTGATACTCTTCAGACCATGGGCTTTCTTCCCCTCTAGCCAGTGGGACAGCCCCGTCCTTGCTCCCTCTGTTCAGCTGAGGAGGTTTTTTTCACACATAGCTGATGATTAGCTCTCCACTCAAGAGGCAGGAGGCAAACTCTGTAAGCACTGAACTTAGCTTTGTGGACTTGAAGCCCTCAGCCTCTATGTACCCAGCTCAGTCACCTCACCTCACTGTACTTGTGCTGAGTCTCCCTTCCCATGCTGCAGCCTTAAAACTCCCACATTAAGCTGCTGCATTCCTTAGAGCTCACCTCTGTTCTCCCATTTCTAAAGGGATCACTGCCCTGTGCTTCCAGAGACTAACACCTGTAAACACACAGGGATACTCCAAAAAGTTTGAGGAAGAATGGAATTAAAAGGTAAGTTTATTAAGGTGCAAAAATTTTTGAGATCCATGCATGCCTTTCCCACAATCCACACTTTGTGTGATCTTTCTGAAGATCTTTTATATGCACAAATTTTTAAAGTATGTATATCGAAAGAAAGTTGTATTTACATCCATTTTTTCCATAACCTTTTTGATACACCTCCTTACTTGTAGTCCAGCTATTTAGCTGCCTCAGATTGAAGAATAAATCTGGTCCTTGTTATTCCATCTTGGTCAAACCTAGAAATTTCTTCATTCTTTTATTTTAAAAAAACTAAAGATTCTAAATTTGAAAAGGAAAAAGACAAAATTCAAAAGCCCTTCAGGTAATGTTCAGTTCATGGAGTGTTTTAATTCTCTGGCGTTTTTAATGACCCTTGATTTGTGAAATTTTTAAATGTTTTGGCTTAAGTTTATACACATCACTCATGTTTGAATCCACTTTGCCCTGAGAGTAACATACATGTTTCAAAAATAAGGGTGTCAGGCCTATGAAGTGTTCAGTGTGTACATGCCAAGTAAATTTTTAATTAATGTTGTTATCATATTCTGAGATAAATCTCAACATCTGTAGGATAGCCTTGTGAAATTTCTGTACGAGAATCCAGCTATAGAGTATATGTGAAAGCTTTTAGTGAGATGTAAAGTTAAACAAATTCAAGATTTTGCTAATGTTGTTTTCTCAGAAATGCAGAGGGATGTGTGATGGTTGTTTTCTCCACAGACTGAGTTATGCATAGAAGATATATATATATATATATATATATATATATATATATATATATTATAATCTTCAGTTCTGTTCCCCCATCCATTCAGCTGATAGAATATTGTATGTCAGTTATATGAGGTATTTTACCTCATTCCAAACCATGCAAAGTCTGAGCCTC